TTTTGAGATTTTTCTAGAAATCCACCCATTTCTGGACCTTCTCTTTAAGAAATCAAATTTGAATTTTTTTTCAACAAGCAAAGAAGAGGAGGAGGCTGAGAGGAGACCTTATCACACTTTATAACCACCTGAAGTGGGGGTGTAGAGAAGCGGGGGTCTGTCACATCTCCCAGGTCACAGGAGACAGGACAAGGGGAAATGGCCTCAAGTTGCGCCAGGGGAGGTTCAGGCTGGATATTAGGAAACATTTCTTCACGGAAAGGGTTATCCAGCATTGGAATGGGCTGCCCAGGGAAGTGGTTGAGGCACCATCCCTGGAGGTGTTCAAAAGACGGGTAGACATGGTCCTCAGGAATATGGTTTAGTGATTTTTTTATTGCTAATTTCTTATTTATTTTTTTGTCAGAGTTAGATTGATGGTTGGACTAGATGATGTTTAAGGTCCCTTCCAACTTAGATGATTCTATGATTCTAAGAAAATGTGCTAATATTTCAGATGCCACTATTACATTTTTTGATCAGAGTATCTGACTTAAAAAAATTAAACTATCTTATCCCATAATCATATATTCTTGTTATAGAAAGTAGTGTATCGTATCATTTGTACTGAAGTACTTACAGAAGTGAGTGAGACAGCTTTCCTAAAGCCACAAGGTCAGGGGGAGACACAGAATTTAACCTACCTTAAGTTTAATGTTCTAAGACTCAGTGAGAGCATCCTTTGTTCATATTCAAAGACATTCTTGTTCAAAGAGAAAAGTCAGTCCTTCTGACCACTTCGTAACACATGCCTCTGAACTGGACTGCCACTGGAAATTTTGGCTTTTCATAGCCCCTTATTACTGAAAAAAATCAAAAACTTCACCAGTTCTTGAATAATTGAATGAAAAACTCCGTATACAAAATTCCATATGACAAGTCAACAATGGACTGGATTTCACTACCTTAATTAGGGAAGCACCAAGACAGAAATCAAATCTAATGATATATGTATGCACACCCAAGGAGAATCAAGTTCTACTGCAGAACTTAATTAGGGAAGCACCAAGACACCCTGATGACTGAGACAGAAATCAAACCTAATGATATATGTACGCACACCCAAGGAGAATCAAGTTCTACTGCAGAAAATGACCCATTTTAAACACAAATAAACTAAAACATTTCTACAGTTTTTCAACAAGAAAATTAGAGAAACAACAAGAAAATAGTGTTCTATTTTTATATACAGGCATTGCCTTGATCTTTGACATTTTGCTAAAGTGACCACCTCAGTTATAAATTTTATAATGCAAAGTAAAATCTGACCATGGATGCAATTTCACTTGAGAGTATTTAATTTACATATACTCATATATGTATCTGCATATTCACATGTAAACTTACGTATATACACATATATAATATGTATTTATGATTACAAATACTTATGCACATAGATACAGACGGATAGAGAGATTAATTCAGAGAAGTCTATTTTGCAAAAGGAAAACGAAGATGGAAGTTTAAAGTTTGAAACAATCTAAAATCCAACCCATTCTCTTACAGAAGAGAAAATGTTTGGCCTGCTCTTAAACTGGAAATTACACTGCTTTTAACTGCTAAAATTCGGAATATCTAATAGAAGAGCCCTTTGTTACCTTATGTGTAAGGATACGGTCCGTGACCCAGTTGCCAGGCAACTCCATGGCATTACAAAACATTTTCTTTAGACATGCGGCTCCGCGGTATGATGAGTCCACACACACAAACAGACCCAGTGACACGGTTCTCTCTGAACCTGAGCATAAAAGAGTTTTAGAGTGTTCTAGAGAGACCAAGAAAGTGCAACTCTGACTTAAATTGTATAAACTGAAGTTCCTTTATGACCATGTTCTTTATAATGTTGCGTTAACTACAAATCAGAGGAAATAGCTTCAGCCCAGCGCTGGGATGTGAAACCACTCATGCTCATGGCTGGAGTGAAAGAATGGTTATTGATCCACTGAGGGAAAATATACACACCTTTGCTAGTGACAAGCTATGTTAAAGCTTATTTTTCTTTCTTTTTGAAATCCTTGACTTTTACCACACAAACTCTTATAAATCCCAATGTCCTCTCTAAAACACTTTTTTTTTTTTTTCCCCCACGTATACATTGAAAAGAAGTTTCTTCTCAAACTGCAAAGATGTTTATATGTTTTTGAACCGCAGTTCTCTGAGATACAACAATCAAGGATGGATTTCATTTTAGATGTGTACCAACCTCCTGATCTTCAGAATAGCCATATTTGTTAAGCCATACCTACAAAATAAATCAAATACACCTACATCGCACACAAATAAAGGATTAATTTATCCATCCTTATTTTTCTTAATTCTGTGTCATCATGTGGGTTATTCTAAATATAGTAGGTATGAAGATAAGCAGAGACTCCCGGAGTCATCATCGTCAAAAAGTGAAATTGTTAATCACACTGAAAATTAGTAGCAATCAATGTCACACCTGAAGGTAGTCAAGTAATCCTCAGACCAGACATAATTGATTCCTACACCTTTAATCAAAACAGGAGGATAAATTCTCCCCACCAACATGGCTTTATTCAGTTCTATCTCACCTGATCTTCACCGTCACTTAAGGGCCATACAAAAGTGAAAGCACACCTCCATGCAAACATCCCCCAGATCATGATCCCATGGCCAGAGGAAAGCTTCTAACAATACACCTTTTGGAAAAAAAATAAAACAAAAACACCAAAAACCCAAGCCCAAAATAACCTTACAGCACGCCACCCACCCCAATATTTTGGGTTGTTTTTCTGGTGGTAAACATATTTATTACATTAATTATCTGATAGTGAAACACCAATTAAATGATGCACATTTCCAGAAAGCAGAGGGCTGCTCAACCATTTCACGCACATTAAAAAAAAACAACCAAAAAACCAACCAGGCTAGATTGTTGCTGACTTACAAGGTACAGTTACAGTTTTTTCATATTGTAGACACCAACCCCAAGCCCTCTCTTGACACAGCAGTAATAAGTAGTTATAACAGAAGTAGAAGTGTTGTCAGCCCTGCTGAATCCTTCAGAAAGGTGAAAGGAATACCAGGTAGGACAGCTTACCTCATTCCTCTGGGACATGTACGTGAAGATCCATCTCCTTTCTAGAGAGATGACTGAAACAGCTTCAGTGACCTTTTCAGCCCATACCTCAGATACTTCAGGTAAAGCGTGTCATATACAAAGAAATGTTGGTTTTGACATAACTGAAAATTAATGCCAGCTGTAGGTATGACAGGATCACAAGTCTCTTGATCACTGAAAATTATGAAATACAGCAAAGTGTCTTCAGGCAGGTTTGTTGTGGCTGTAACTGAAATGCAGCAAATTGCTTTACTGGCCCACATTTCTCTGAAGCAAATTCATTTTGTATTTGATAGGTATGATTTGATGATAATTGATTTTCAGATCAGATGTGAAAAAACACATGCCTTTTCTGATTTTTATTTATTTATTTTTGGCAGGACTTCACTTCTTTTGACATTAAGCACAGATAACCTTCTCTTTGATAGTAGTGTGACTTTGTTGCGCAGTACTTTGCCACTATTTTGTCAGCTTATGAGTTTCTTTTCTTTTTAAAATTATTGTAAGTTCTCCAGGCAGAGAAACCTACTGTTCTGCAATATCTATTTTTGACAGCTACTGGATGAGACTGTTGAAGGATAGGTAAAATCTTAAAAACTAAAACTGGAGCAGAGAGCACCATTAAATGAAATACAAGATTTGTCTATTTGCTTTTTAAACTGATTCAAAAGCAAGCAAAAGCAAACTAATACAGTAAACTACTTTGAATCTAGTAGAAGTTGCAATGTGCTGCTGTGCGTAGTAAGAGGAAGGTGGGAGTTTACAAGTTACAACAGCTTAAAGCACTTCATGCAAGAGGAAAGCGTAAAAGCATTGCATCAATGTTTTTGCACTATTTCTTGCATCATTTGCATCTCAACAAGGTGAGGCATACGAGTTCCTAAATTAGACCAATAATGACCTATACACAAAGAAGCAAAAGCATTCTGTCCTCCTCCTCCTCCCTTCCTTTCTCTTTTCTTGTCATAGAGTTCCTTCTCCCTTCCTTTCTCTTTTCTTGTCATAGAGTATGTGACCCATGAGAAACTGGAAGAAACTCGGTGTCACAGAGGTTACTCCAACCAAAATGCTCCTCTGCTGCAGTGACCAAGGGCCACCTGTAGCAGACAAAGTTGAGTTTTACATTTAAAGTATATTTATCCTGTTAAGATCAGCACAAATATCAGGGAGTGAACTGACCTCCTGTGACTGGTACCCAAGCTCTAAAATTTTAGCTCAGTTCCACCTGCAAAAATTTTTGCTTGAATCCTCAAAGCCATGACTCTATCTCTATCCCTTTACTTCTGCATTTCTGTCAACACTTCAGTGCCCAAAACCAGACTACTTATGATAGCAGTTAGAAAAAAACCAACCAACCATCTTTTATTGTTTAAGTAAGCAGATTTGAAATGGTATTACTGAAAGGTAATGGACATGGACCCCCACTGTTCTGTTTTTACAACAGTTTATGTGTTGTGCTCCCTTCCTTTCTCTTTTCTTGTCATAGAGTATGTGACCCATGAGAAACTGGAAGAAACTCGGTGTCACAGAGGTTACTCCAACCAAAATGCTCCTCTGCTGTAGTCACCAAGGGCCACCTGTAGCAGACAAAGTCGAGTTTTACATTTAAAGTATATTTATCCTGTTAAGATCAGCACAAATATCAGGGAGTGAACTGACCTCCTGTGACTGGTACCCAAGCTCTAAAATTTCAGTAATTTCAGTTGTCACCTGCAACAATTTTTGCTTGAATCCTCAAAGCCATGACTTAGCTCAGTTCCACCTGCAAAAATTTTTGCTTGAATCCTCAAAGCCATGACTCTATCTCTATCCCTTTACTTCTGCATTTCTGTCAACACTTCAGTGCCCAAAACCAGACTACTTATGATAGCAGTTAGAAAAAAACCAACCAACCAAACATCTTTTATTGTTTAAGTAAGCAGATTTGAAATGGTATTACTGAAAGGTAATGGACATGGACCCCCACTGTTCTGTTTTTACAACAGTTTATGTGTTGTGTTGTACTTCAACTATGATTACACAGATGTTTTTTTCCCCACATTAACTGTCCCATAATTCTTAACTTGATTTAAAACCTAATCTGCCATAAAGGCACATGAAATAGAACAGACTGAGAAAATATTTGAGAATGGCTGTTACAAAGAAAATAATTTATAGTATGCAGTTACTGATCAGGTAGAACGATACTTCAAAAACCAGACTGTATTACAAAGCATTTCTTCAAACATCCATTTTGGATTATTGCTGAAAGGTACTAATTGGTCTATTCTAGACTAATTTACAAACATTCATAAAATAGTGAAAAATGCATGCTTTAGAAACCTGGTACATTTCATGCCTCTGGACTAAAAGGAATATGAAGATGGAAGCAAGGGATGGATAATTTTAATGTATATTAGTAGTGCTTAGAGTTTTTTTTCTTTTGCATTAACAGACTCTTCAATTTTTTTCTCATTTCTTTCAGGTGATTTTTTATCTTCAGGCTTAGTCCACGGAGGGTTGTGCAACTTCTGTTGAACATGAAAATAGCACCAGTGTAAGCATTACATACATGATACGTGCATAAACAAGCAAATAAAAAAAAGTATGTTAAAAATGCATGGCAGTAGCGCACGCAGAGCTGTATTTCTGTTAAACTGATGTTCCAGCTTTGAACTACTATAACAGAATATGATATTCATCAACTGTGTCTAGAGAAGGGTTCTGATCTCCACCAAAAAAAAAGCACATTGAACAATCTTTGACAGTGGAAAAGCATACAAGTCTGATGCTGATTTATAATCCTGGTGATTTTCATCTTTCTTGGTCTATCAAACGAGGAGCTCAGGTGTACAACTCACTTAAGACTTTTCTGTTGGCAACACGCCTGCATACAGCTCCACATAATTGTAGCTATGTAATGAATTTGGAAATCTCTCCCTTCTCCTGTTGCCAGAGGTATGGACATCACATTATTAAATTATTTGACTACTAGGACAGGCTGGTTCTCCAAGTATTATATGGGTTTGCAAATTGTTACCACCCAGAAGCCATTTTGAAGAGATGAACTGAAATCAGGTACAGTCAAAGTCTGAACTAAGCACTTCTCTTTCAAAAGTGTTACTGTAGAACGTGTAAACACACTTCAAATGATTGCATGCTTTACAAGATCTTTCAATAAAAACCTGAGAATTACTCAGAAACAGAATACCTGAAAGCTTGTCTCTGTTTCTGCTGTCTTCAAACGAGATGTCGAATTATTGCGATTCCCCAAACATGTCTTGCCAACCTGTCAATACAAATGTCAGAGATAACAGCTTCGTATTTTTTTCCTGAAATATTCATGTTTTTCCTAAAAAAAATCCCACCAATGAACAAACCCAAAAATCACAGGGGTTTCTTTTAACCTAGTTGATGAAATGGAACAAACCAAAGTTTTCATAGCTAAGCAAATCCCATACTCCCATCTTCCCTGTAATAGTCTAATAAGGCTACAGGTTTAACAACACTTATCTAACGCTTTTTTTCTCATGTTTAAATCTCATTGCAAATAGTGAAGTTTGTTCCTACAATAGTCCCATGGAACAGATAACTAATTATAATTGTCTGTTACAGGTGAGGAAATAGTAACAAACAACCGAAAACTATCACTACAGTGAGGATTTCTCTATTACTAGTCTATTGTCTAAACTGTTAGATCTCTCAGGTATAATAATCACAGAGTGGGGATATGTACAATAATTCCCTGAATGGGGAAATCAGATGACTCTCAAGGTACATAAAAACTTGTTAGATTCATCACTGCCATTTTATTCCAGCAATAATGTAATTTTCTTTGCCAATATGGTTTTTAATATTAGGGAAAACAGAGTTGAACAGCATAAATACAATTAATTACACAGTAGATTTTTGAACCAAAGAGATCTCGTGTTATGAGTCTTAAGTAGAGATTTACCCAGCACTGAAACGTCCACTGTAATTAAAGTCCCTTCAGGAGTGGGATTAATGATGCCATAGGCAAAGAAATTAAAATGTGAAATACAGTAGGATATTGATAGTAATGAATATTTGGTCATTAGTTTAAAATATGTTCTCATTGGAATTTCTCTACTTGTTTTGCTATTAAAACCGATACATTTAAATGGAGTGAAAATAAGAGCTTTACGTTTTTAGTCATCAAGACTCTTTCCAATGTAGCAGTAATTTTGTTTATTTTAAATTTTATCACAACTTCTTAGCATAAACCCTTGAAGATTTTGGAAAGTAAGTTAAGCTTAGATATAGTATTTTTTTACATCAGACATAATCCAGTATATTAATGAAAGAAGGTGAAAAAAATCACTAGTATGTGGACATAAGCTGTGCTCATAGGAATATGAATGCAAACATTCCTTCAACAAGAAACTCCCAATAATATCCACTATGAGATTGGCTGGCATTTCTGCAAATTTTTTTTCTTTTTTAATATTATGTTTGGAGATATCGGCCTAGGACAAAACAAGCTATTTGTGTCTAGGACAGCACAGGAATCATAATCAAAAAGAGAAAAAAAACCCCAAACCTCTAAATGCTGTTTTGAGGCATTTTTTTGGACAGACTTTCTTAAGAACATGGAAAGCAAATCTGAATTCATCCTATAACAGCTTAAATCATGACACGATAAAAATTACCTCATTCAGCAGAGAATGAAAAATAAATGAAAATAAATATCCTAACGTGTAAATTAAATATCAAGAAATTGTATAAATATCCTTACAGTATAAGTGACATTAAGACTGAAGTTAATTAAAAAGTAAGAGACTGACAAGGGAGAAGAAAATTCATTAAGTTTTTGCACTTGAGAAATTCTGACAGTCCCTTGCCTGTAACAAAGTTGATCTACGAACAGGTGTGAATATGAAAATGAAACATGTTATTACGAAAACTACTTGGAGAGGAGATGGTGGCCTCCCTCCTGAAAGCTTCTAGAGATATGGTGGCCCTGCCGAGGATTTTATAGTACTTCAGGGGGATTTTAGTCATGTTAAACCTACTAAAGTGAGCCTCTGAGATGGTGCAATTGAAGTGATTGATGGCGGGGACTCTTTTTCAAATTTTTCCCACTATACACAATACCTAATAAAAGATGGATTAATATTTCATAATAGGAAATAATGAGTGTAGTACACATTAAAAAATATAAGTCTATTGATAAAGTACCTATTCCTTTTATGAGAAAACAAAATATCAACAAATGGCTTATGTTCTAGATAAAGAGTGAGATGATGAAGACTAGAAATTTATAATAAATTTTTAATAAAAAACAAAGTATCAACAAATAGTTTATGTTCTACATAAAGAGTGAGATAAAGACTAGAAATTTATAATAAATTTTTAATACTTCAAAAGCTTAAATGTGTGGTCCTAGCAGAACTTGTATTTAAAATATTTACTAGTGAACTTGATTGAAAAAAAAATGTTTTCAGCTTAATCATTTTTAGAAAAAATTGAGGGTTTCATAGACTTCTAGGTGAGCAGCTTGAGGATGAAAGATGTTACAGGTCAAGAAAGGAACAGCATTTCAGGTTGTGTAGTGAAGAGGACAGAATAACACCAATGAAATACAAGATCATTTGCAAATCCATAATTTACCCTAACTGTATATACTGAGAAATTTCAGGTAATCTATTTCACCACAGCAATACATAGAAGACAGGAATCCAGAAATATTAATTGAAATGAATAAAAATATTGGTCAACCATTTAAGTTACATGCAAAGAAAAAAAAAAAAAAAGGTTGCATTAGAGAAAATAAAAGCTACTGATAAAAATAATGCTTTGTAAGTGACTAATCCTTCACACCCTTCTCATAGACCAGATAATAAAAGCCATCTTGGTAGGAAAACAGAAGTGAAGGGTTGCATTAAAGAAAATAAAAGCTAATGATAAAAATAACACTTTGTAAGTGACTAATCCTTCACACCCTTCTCATAGACCAGATAATAAAAGCCATCTTGGTAGGAAAACAGAAGTGAAGATTTATGTCTATAGTATTTCATATCTTTTCACTCACAGTTGTTTTCCTTTATAGTAACACACCATATGGATCGCTGTTGGAGAAAGACAGTAGAATGGGAGGCTTTTCTAAGCACAGCAACTCTTATGTCTTTATAGAATGGGAGGTTTTTCTAAGCACAGCAACTCTTATGTCTTTATGTCGTTAAAGCATAAAGCATTCATTATTGATTCCTTGTCACAGTGAAGCCTCGTCTACCATTAACAAATAAATTACAGATCAAACCACGGCGATGACTTTCAATACGCCATCGGTCAACAGCAGCTCAATAGCCAGAGTGGTCACCAGTCACTGTGGGTGAGCTGCGTCCGTCTGTCTGTCTGCTCTGGGCTTTACCTCAGGGCAGTTCCTAAAGCTGAGACAGACGGGTGCAACAGCATCTTCTGCTACAACTGTAAACTGGGTTTAACACAACATAAACTGAATCTCATGCATATATACAAGCACACGCACATATATACGCCTCTATATGTATGTGCTTATATATATGTACTACCATACCTTTCACAGCCATGAGTAATGTACAGACAAAAAAAAAAAAAGCCAGGTTTATTTTTTTTCCCTAGTTCCCTCTATGCCAAACGGTGGAAAGATTGTTTTGTTTGCTCTTCTGTGCGACTCTCCTTTTCTGTCAGATTCACTCCTGCGAAAGGCACACTAATTGCAAAAATACAGAATGATAGTTTGACATGGTGGAAACTAGCAAAAAGCAATAATAATTGCTTTTGGAAAATGAAGGGGTTGAAATGTTGTCAGCGTGGCTTTTCTATTTTATGAAGATGAGATTTTGGAAGCGCTGGCTGGAAGAGCTGCTGGGACTTTGCCAGGCTCTGAATTGAGATTTCAGCATATCAGGGATGCGAGGACAAACTCGTAGCTGTGTGTTTCTCTGACAAGAGTGGGCATTCCTGCCACCCTGTTTGGAGATGTGAGGGTGAGGAAGGGGAGAGGAACAGGAAGATGCCAACTGTGAAAGCCTCTATGCAGGACACTTAGGTTTCCAGCTCATGCACAAACCCTCTAATGCCATGGAACACAGCAGAGCACACCCTTACCCCTCATAACTCATTCCCTTCACACCTTGCACCACCAGGGAGGAGGAAGCCCAGTACTCAACGATAACCCACTCAACATACACTCGTACAGAATACAGACACCTGGGCTTTATCCATTTCTTCAGAGAAGATCAATTGCTTTTCTGCACAGAGGTACAGACACCTGGGCAAAATGCAGCTTTACCCATTTCTTCAGAGAAGATCAATTGCTTTTCTTCCAAAGAACAATTTTTTTTTTAAATATTATTACTAAAAAAGCTAATAAAATGCTAAGACTATAACAACAGACTAAAAACATTCAAGTAGAATCAATATCTCAAAGCTAAAAAAAATTGGCACTAAGTCCCAGAAAAAAGGATCTCAAGTTAGTCTGGTTATTTTAGTGCAACTCCATTGACTCCTCTTGTACCATTATAACAAAGCAGGTTGTAATTCAAAATCTTGTCAGCAGTACTTCAAGGATAATCTGGTTTTCGTGCCAAATATAACATGACATTTCACAATATGGGCTGTTTCCCCAGCTGCTGTGCAGAAAGCTGTATGGAGAGGAGGGGGAACATCACACAAAAGATGAAAGAGTTCTGTCTGCACATAATCTCTATTGGTATTTAATAATATGAAATAATTTTTTGCCTGTGCCTCCTCTTAGTGCTTCCAGAGAAGTTCAGCCAGGCTCTTAAGCTACATACTAAGAACTAAGAAAATGAAAGCACTGTATCTAGATGATTGTGCTCTGTCCCTTAGCTAATGTCTTTCCAGGGATGCAGGAGTATAGTAATAATGCAACATAATAACGTTGGTTATTTTCTTGTTTGTGTCTGAAATGACAGGTGGATAAAGAACACAAATTCAAAGGCAGAGGACATGGCAAATGTGGACAAGACTGAATACCTGGGAAGCTGTAAAGTAAGGAGAAGATAACACAGATGCTTTAATCTATCAATCTTTAGCCAGCATAACTAAAATCTTGAAATGTTTTTAAAAGTGCAAATTATTGTTAGCACGGTGAAAAAATGTCTTTAAATGCAAGATAAGAGCACTTCAGCATACAGATCTGCATTTCTGAAACCACCAGGAAAATAGCTAACAATGTTCTCAAATTCTAACTTCATAGACTTTAAGACTACTTCCTGCCATTGCCATTTAGAACAAAATGGGCAGTTTATTCTTAACTATGTC